ATCAAAGTTGTAAAAAAGTGAACATTTTTAACTCATAATTTTGCAGACAGCTTTTTGTAAATGTTTGTCCATCCTTTTAATCAGTAGTAAGAAAAGTTGTTTGGAAAATCTGTAGATCTATGTGGCAAATACATGAGCAGATTTTCTCTATAGCGATATAGAACATAATACTAAATCAAAAACCAATATGGGGGCTCTCGTGACCTAGAGGTTAGGGTGTTGGCCGCTCATTCGAAGGTCCCGGGTTCGAGTCCGGGTAGCGACCAAAAAAATTCTTCTCTAAAATTGTCTCGTTTCACCTCATTGCCTGCTCTCTAGCAATGTTCTATTGTCTGCCTTCGTCTCCTCTTTTTGCCCCCACCCCCTCACCTCCTTTGCCCCCTCCTGTGAGCTTCTGACTCTATCTGCAGCCTTTCTACTTCTCCCTGGTTTCTTCTTACTGCTGTCTTTCAGCCACACCCCTGATCTTCTGGTAAGAAAGATCTGCACCTTGCCTTCTCGGACAAGGGCGAAAAATCTCAGAGGGCCCGAGTGCAAGTTGCACACGTTAAAGATCCCTTGGTTGTTCCCAATCGATAAGAGTAGGCTTTGACCGCCAACCGGGCAAATTTCAAAATTTCCTACCAACTGAAAAAGTTTAATGTGTCCCGCGAGCTCATATAACCTTATGCAGTTGTGAGCGCCGTAAAACACTTTAAAAAAAACAAACCCAAAAACCCACCCCAAAAACCCCCAATATATTGCCTTTTGTTATTGTCGGTGGGTGGGGGGTGTCAATGACAAAACCTTCTCGTTTCCTTTCCCCTGTAGTTTGTGCCTGTCTGTCGTATTTTTTCCTTACATTTTGATAATTTTTATTGCCTTGGATGTGCTTTTCTTTGCTTAAACTGTAAAATTTAATTAATAACTAATTTGACTTCAAATTTATTTTTCACAGAAAGCCAGCACCCACATAAGCCAACAGCTGACAGTCACCCAAGAAGCTGACACCCTGCCCAGACAGCACGGACCTTCCACTCACTCTTAGACAACCAGCCAGATGAGTATATACTGCCACAGCTACCCTGAAATGGACTTCCATCAGTTAAACCAGCGAACGATAACTGGCAACTATAACAGCTGACTGTGCACTTTGATTTCTCAAGCTTGTGGGAAATTGTGCGGATAGGACTGTAAAAACATGGACTCAACGCCAGAAAAATTCTTTGTATGATGTACTGTTTCAGATATTGTACAGAATTAAAAGCTGCTTCTCTATATGAGATCACTGAACTAGAAAGATGACGAGGCAATTCTATCCCTTTCCTTCAGTTCAAAGTTTGGTGACATCAGACGGTTTGTTCACTTTTCTGGTCCAACAAGTATCAAAGTGGTCTGCTTCTACGATTTCCGTATATCACACTCAGGCTTGAAGTGACGCAGTGGGGCTGTAGAGATAGGCAGACAGGTTGATAGGGAGCTAGGTGGATAGGTTAGAGTAGAATTTTGTCGATATTGCCATGGCCATGGCGGGAGGTAGTTGAGGGGGCAGTGTAGGTTTTTCTTTTTTTGGGGGAAGGGGGGGGGGGGGGGTTGCAGGGGTAGAATGGTGTGGGTAGAGCTTCCTGCTGATTTTGAGTTTGAGTGTGATGATGTTGGAGTGGTGTGTATACTGGATTGTTCCTTAAGGACCACCTGGATGACCAAGAGGAGCATCTGCAGACAGAACATCTACAGGAGGTATTTGTCTGGGAAATATGTCTCGGTGTTCATTATTATAGTTTTTTGAGTTAAAGGTAAAAGTTTTATTGTTGCATTTAGGTGGAAAGAGAGAATTATAAAATGTATTTTTACTGAAAGGTTTTTATTAATGACCTTCTGTCCTTTTAAACTGGTGGTAAAATTATAACGACTCTTTTTATATTTTGAAACAAAAAAGGCAAACTGTATAGACGTAAGACAATAGTATTGATTGACAAATGATGAAACATATTTTTGGACAAATTTTTAAAAATGTCTTTGATGCTTTTTAAACCAGTAGCAAAAATATTTTAGCGACAGTTTATTTTTTCACGAAAAGAATACAAACTGTATGTATAGATGTAAGATGATTGTATTAATTGACACGTCTTCATCACCAGGACCAGCCGCGGACAGGAGGACCAGCCGGAGGAGCACCCACAGACAGGATCATCTACAGGAGGTATTTGTCTGGGAAATATGTCTTGGAACACTATTTATTAATCATTAAAGTAAAATTAGGAAAAATAACTATTGGTTTTGTTATTTCAAGGTGAAAGACTTGTTTTCGCATTTTGGTGAAAAAGAAAACTAATAAAACATATCTCCTGACCCGTTTTCATTGTCTTTTCTAGCCTTTTAACATGCAATTTGAATCACGTTTCCGCGTAATTCTCTCGTGTTTTTGGAAATGCGACCCGACATATTACGTTTATAAAACCACTTGTTTCGAGTCAAACCCATCAATTAAGCATTACGCAGAGGTAGAATTCATTTATCTTTGACTTCTGGGTCAAACTAAAGGTTTGTTAGCTCATACTTTTTTATATTCGGCTCCTACCATAATACAATGACTTCGCATCGGTCCAGCCATAGTTATGGAGCTCGACTGCCGGACGCTGCAACTGTCGAGACATAGTTAAACAGTTAAACCAGTAGTAAAAATATATCCCCTCTTGTATATTCTGAAACAAAAATACAAATTGTATAGATACAATATGATTATATTAATTGACACGTCTTCATCACCAGGACCAGCCACGGACAGGAGGATCAGCCGGAGGAGCACCCACAGACAGGAGCATCTACAAGAGGTATTTGTCTGAAAAATAATGTCTTGGAACATTATTTGTTAATTTATAATTAAAGCAAAATTTTAAAAATACCCCCCCACCCTTCTCATTTTTATTAGAGTTGGGGCGAGCGGATGGACGGGTTCATTACTCGTGGACTGTCAGAGCGAGCAGGTAACGGACGGCCATGCGAGTGGACTGCGAACCTCAAGACAGTTCATTTTTTGGGTCCACTCCACAATTTTACTCTCTCAGCGAGCAGACTGCGGACCTCAAGTCAGTTCTTTTTTTTTGGTCCGCTCCACAATTTAATTCACTTAACGGGCGGGCGAATGGACTAACTCTAGCACACGAGATATTCGACTCGATTTTAGGCCTGCCGTCTATTGTTTGTTAGTTACGCATAGTGTTTCAAGCCACTTGCGGTGCCACAGGGAGTGAGAGAGGTTGGTGACGTAGCACTATGAGTGTAACCTTTCACCTCGTGTGTGGTTCACACTGTGTATGTTCCAATTCAACCTGAAGGCGAAGTTTAAAGAATTTGGGTCGATAGTGCCGTAAAACACCTGCTCAGTCAATCAAAAAAGAATTTCCAAAGGCCTTTTTATGGGGGGGGGGGGGAGGGGAGAGCAGTTTCTAGCATGAACACCTAGCTACAATGTGGGGCAGGAGGGTGAATGTTTTACGAGGGGGGCAGGGTGTAAATAGTATGCAATAGGAGTCGCTCCCCGTCTGTCTGCCTGCCTGCTTGAATGCATGGAGTCTCTCCATTCACCCGTCCGCTCGCTGGCTAAATGAACTGTTGTCTCTGTCCAATGAGTAGCGAGTAGCGAACTACTCTTCACAAGCGGATGGCTCGTTACCCGTCCGCTTGTTTGCGGGTAGTGCCAGCGAGCACTTCGTTACTCGCGGACGCTGATTTAGTGAGTCTGACCCTACTCCAGTTCTTATGTACAGTAGAATTGTAAAAGGGCAGATTCAACGTCATACTCATAACTGTGCCTGAACTACAACAGGGAACTGCTTCTTTTACTTTCCCAATCCTTACTATCGTCATTTTCCTCTACTTTTTTATGTTTGTCACACTCTTGTGACCCACTATTTCCGGGGTGCTTTGAAAGTCGAAAGAGACTTTGTGCTCTGGTAAGTCTGACTCCCTGTAAAAACTTCTCTGTTGACATCCACCCCATGGTGGTCATATGACCTTATTCAGTTGTGAGCGCCGTAAAACCTCTACAAAAAAAAGAAAAAAGAAAAATATCTTTCGGTTCTTTTGATTTAAAGGTAAAAGTTTTATTTTTGCATTTAGGTGAAAAGAGAAAATAATAAGAGGCCTACGTATTTACTGACAGATTTTTATTAATGTCCTTTTAAACCAGTAGCAAAAATATATCAACTCTTTATTTTCTGAAAGAAAAAAATGGAAACTATATAGATCTAAGACGATTGTATTAATTGACACGTCTTCATCACCAGGACCAGCCGCGGACAGGAGGACCAGTCGGAGGAGCACCCACAGACAGGGGCATCTACAGGAGGTATTTGTCTGGGAAATATGTCTCGGAACATTATTGATCAATTACTTACTTTTACTTTTTCATCCTCTGTTGTCATTATGCATAGTGGGGAGATGCAGTTTTCTATGGTAGGCTGGCTCCGCAGCTCTTTCAGTTCGGATACTATGATTTATCAGGGCTTCCTTGACAACTTCAATCCACCCTTTGTGTGGCCTTCCTCTTCCTTTATAGCTTGAGTGCTTGGTGTTATAGGTTCTCAAGGCTGGCTGGCTAGGTAACATACGTAACAGGTGGTCAAACCATTTTGTTCTGTCTTTCTACGAAATGCAGTCAGATGTCCCAGTCCAAATAGCATAATGTAATCAAACATTGAAGTTAAGTTAGAAAAATAAATGTATTTATTTTAAAACAATTTTCAAGCTCTAAGGCTTTTAATTGCATTTCGCTGAAAAGGAAAAATAAAAAACTTATTTACTTCCAGATGTCTAATAATGTCCTTTTAAACCAGTAGTAAAAATATAATATCAACTCTTTATTTTTCTGAAACAAAAACGGAAACACAAGACAATTGTATTAACTGACATGTCTTCGTCACCAGGACCAGCCACGGACAGGAGGACTAGCCGGAGGAGCACCCACAGACAGGAGCATCTACAGGAGGTATTTGTCTGGGAAATATGTATTGGAACATTATTTGGTAATACTCGAACCTGTGTAAGACGGCCATCCATTGTCGAGGAGAAAAGTGGCCGTATAAGACAGTTGGTGTCTTGGGCAGGACTGATCAAGATGGAAAAAAACCCCCCATTCCTCTCTGAAGTCTCTCGAAAGTAGCTGCATTGTTGTTGTTGTTGTTGTTGCTGTTGTTTTTGCTGGGGTTTTTTCTTTCTTTTTTAAAATTTTGTTGTTGCTTTTGTGCGAGGGTGACAATGAAACGAAAAGTGTCAGACAAGGAGGACCAAGTGCTATGGTAAAACAAACACATGGGTCGCCACCACGAGGAGAACAAGCGACGCTTCTGTCACAAGTTCATGTTGACGTCCATTGTTACTTTGTTACAGACTGGGTGAACAGTGACCACTCATCTCACGGTTTTTGCATGAGTTTTGGGCGGGGCTTATGGGTTATCGAGGGATCACACGCTTACCACACCAGCAGATGAACAATTGTTACCTATTGGTCAATAATGAGAGGGGCCTACGCAACATGATCGGTTGGAGTTGGAGGTACATTAACAACAACGACAGGTGATTTAATTATGACGGCTCCCCCCACAACGCCAGGGGGTAATGGAGTCACTAAGGTGGTCGTCTAAGACAAGTGTTATTTATTGTTTGCTGTGATAGGGGTTGTGTGTTAAAATATGGTGGCCGCGGCCGAGTTGGACAGGTGCCCATTTTACACAGTTAAATTATATAGAAAAAAACGCAAGGGGGGAAATGGAAAGTGGCCGT